GCTAGATTTATGTCGGTGAAGGATACCATATCCTATTGTTCATCAAATGTCTGAATCTTGATGTTATAGGATAGGGCATCTTTCTGCTCTATCTTCGGCGTGTCTTTATCATCAACACCGTACGCCCCAAAGCGACTACTTGCGACCCTGCTTGATGGTTTCACATATAGCAAAAGGTTATACGTTGACACTTATGCATCGGACATAAGCATCAAAAGAACGAACCAAGAAGCAAGGAAAATAACAAAAATGGGGTGAGAGAGAGGAGGAACTGATTCACCCAAAACACTGAAAAGAACGAATGATGAATCAACCCTCAAAGCAACCCTCAAAGCTCGTGACTCAAAGCTCGTGACAAAAAAAAAAAAATTTGAAAATGAAGACCCGAAAATCCCCGAATCAATCCGAAATGGGTATCACGCCCTCCAATTTCGCAAACGGATCAACCAAAAGATATTCTTTCCAAACCACATTTCAAACCAATGCCACGATTACATACGTAGCCCCACAATACTTATGCATTTACATATTCAATCTCTAAACTTAAATAGTGCATTTACATCATTCAAATCTTTCATATTGGATAAAAAAATGCCACCATTAGAGCCTCATAACTGCAACTCAAAGGAAACCCAAAGAAAGCCAACTAAAATCCCAACTCAATTAAAATAACCCACACAACCTCAAATTTTACATAGGGTCAACCTCGTCAAAGTTTCAAAAAATCTCATGAATAAAACGATCGTTCTTATTTCCAAAAAGTGAACTCCTCGAAGTTTTCAAATTCTCACACAAGTATCACATGTAAACATTTTCCAAAGCCCAAGGCGGCACCTTCAATTTCCAATAATTTTATATGTTTCGTATCATGAAATTGAAAGAGAACAAATTTCCAAATAGTCTTATAACCTCTAAAACGGCAGCTAAAAAAACTTTGCCAAAACATCGCCAAAAGATGCATTTAAAAGCCCTCAAAACTACAGTCGTTTCAGCCCATAAAAACGGTATTTCGAAAAGCTCAAAACTGAACCCAATTCAGCCCACAAAACGCATTTTTTAAAAGCTCTAAACTGAAGCCAATTCAGCCCCTAAAATATGTTTTTAAAATGTTCCAAATAGCTTGCCAAAATCAGACCATGCGCATAAGAATTGACTGGTATGTGCGTAAAAGAAGGCAGAATTTATTAAATGCAAACATCATTGAAAGAATTAAATCCCATCAATTCAAATCTAAC